TGGATGATACACTTCTAAAGAGGCTCTCGGCACGTTCAACCCTGGCCTTGAATGGGGTCAGTAGCCCCATACTGGTTTCATCATCGCAATAACATGGATGCACGAGTAGATGGAAGTGAGCTAAATTGTATATTCTCTTGGTAGCCCATAAACCCATACAAAATTCTTTTGAAAACCTTGCAAGTATCTCATTTTAGAGTGAAGAGCATATAAAGGAATCATCTCCTTTTACTTTCTTATCATTTCTCCTGAAATACGAAATGTGGAGTTCTGCATCTTTCACTGTTTGAATTTTTGTCCCTGGCATCATCATCATGATCATTATCATCATCTTGCAGCTAACATTTACGAGCCACTTGCTCTATGTCGGGCATTCTACAAAGCATTTCATATAGACTGTCTCCTTTAATCCTTAAACACCACAAAGCAGAGATTATTCTTCTTAACACTGTTTAGAGAAGAAAACTGAAGTTAAGAATGTCAGAGTAATTTGCACAAGGACCCACAGTTCATAAATATTTGAGACGTAATTCAAACCCATAACACTGGACACCAGAGACTGTATCATCAATCAACACAGAGAGAAAGTGATTTTCTAACACTACATTTATATTTAATCTCTCGATATTCCTAGTTTGATGTCTTTAGCTTCACTTGCCCTTCTTATCTTGTATTTTTTTTTTTAAATAAAAGAACAACAAAGTTTAAAAACTAGTAGAACCCACAGAATCTGGTCCAGAGGTCCCTTAACATTGGTCTGTGGACCACTTTGTCATAATCAAGGGAGATGCTTGTTTAAAATACATAATCTTCAGAACTACTGAGTTAAATTCTCTAGGATACAGTCTAGGTACCTGTATTTAAAAACTAAAACTAAAACTAAACCCTCCTCAAGTATCTTGATGCTTAATAGGGATTAAAAAAATTAATTTAGTTCAACCCTTCCATTTGATTTCCAGATGAATAAGCTAAGGTTCAGAAAAGTGAAGTGATTGGAAAAAGTTTACACTGTGCCTTAGAGGAGGATATGGCAGGAGAAGCAGAGTATCCAGGCCCTTGCGCCAAAACTTTCTTATGTCAGCTATTTTTCCATTTTTCATTATTTTTTGTCATCAGTATCTTACAAATCTAAATATATTCCTATTCCCGATTTCTATTCAATGTCCACACCTAAAGAAAAGGTTATCTCCAAATTAATAACCAATTGACTGAAGCATTCATTGTTCATATTTTCAAGTTCATATTTTGAATACTTCAAACTTTAGCAAGAGCAATATCTGAGCTCTACTGCATATTTATCTACTCCTGAACCCTATATTAATTGAAGAGCCTATATCAGAGCTTTACTACTTTTCTGAGTGATCAGAAAGCCACAGGCTTAGTTATTTTCTGACCTATTCCATTTCTCCATGGTGAATATGATGCCTCACAAAGATTGAACTCCTCTAACTGGGAAACATCCGAATAACCACATCCTGGAGGGCAAGAGGTTCTTTTAAGACCCAAATGATCGTGTATCTTGTCAAGAGGAGGATGATGTGAACCGGCGTACAACTCTATGCTTTCCTGACATCCAGATCTACCTTTAGCTAGTATGTCCCTTCAATTCCACTGAGGCTCTCAAAGAGACTTCAAGTTATGTTAGGGCAGAGATGCATCTCTTTCATTATCTCTGTTGGCAAATAATGCCTTGGTCAGATTATTCCTATGGCACCAACCAGTTAACATCAGAAAAGTCTTCAAATCCTCTAAAAAGGTTCCAAAACTCTCCACTGTAAGCCCATCTTTTTACCTTTTGTTCTTGTGCTGATTATCTCTTGCCCTACCCTTTTGTTCTTCCTTTTTCTAAAAGGTTTCTCATCCCTCATCCTGTCTCTAGCCTGAGAAAACTATAGATCCTAGAGACAACAATGAGGTGCTTCCAGAACCTCGGGACAACCTTGGCCTCTGTCTTCTCAGGGTGATGAGGTCCCTTTACTTACCTCTGCTGCTTCTTCATCTACCGTGTCTGCCAACAGGTAAGAGCTAGTATGGACATGATGGAGAAATTATTCCAAAGGCTGAACCTACCTGCAACCATTTGCCTCAAGCTTCTCTTTTTACTGTTACCCTGGTTACTGAGAAGGCATTGTAGATATCCTTAATTTTGAAGGAAAGTGGGAAGAGCTCAGATTCTTCCTGACAATCTTTGTGATAAGATTAACTGGAATCAGGGTTTAAGGTCAATAATAAATACAGATGGAAAATTGCCAGAAGCAAAAGTCAGATTGCTAAACTGAGTTTAAAAAAAAAAAAAAAAGTATGTTTGGCGGGGTGGAGGGGGAAGGAAAGCGAGAAATAGACTAGGATTCCAGATGAGACCAAGAGATCAACAAAGGATCGCAAAGCCAAGCCAACGTTTGGTCTAAAGGAGAGGCTGGAGTAATCACCGTTCATTCATCAGCTGAAACACAGAAGACCAGAAAGAAGAGGGTCTGTAATGAGCGTTTAAGATTATCTGGGACACACGATACTCTGACTCCACTCAACTAAGGTCTTCAGAATTCTGAAGTGTTCTAGTTCGTATCTTGAATCTGAAATGAGAGTCTCCGAAACAGAGAGCTGCTGGCTCTCAGGCTAATGCTGGGAGGAGGCAGAACAGGGCTTTACCTTGGGCATTTATAGACAGGGAGTCAGGGGGACAAAGTTCCCTGGAGCCTTATTAGACCTAACACTCATAATTGCTCAATTTCCTCTGTATCTCTCATAATAGACCAAATTAGTGCTTGCTTCATTAGAATTTTTTTGAAAGCTTTACTTCTCTTGGTTAAATGGTAACCATAATCCATGGCAAAAATGGACTTCGTATGGAAACGAATCTCCTAAGCTGCCCCCTCAAACAAGATTTCTGTCCCTAAGCTCTTCCTTTAAAGAATGGAAGCTGCCATTATTCACACCTACAAACAGTTTAGGGGCATATGACATATCTTTCAAAGAATTTTCATGCTTCTGATTAAAGATGTTATATTAAAGTCATGTACCTAATTTCACTCTCTCTTACAGCTCTACTAAAAGTAAAGCGATTTTTAAAAAGACAAAAAAACCACGAGGACAGAGAAGAATGAAAAGCAAACAACAGGAACAAAATTTCGAAAGTTGGAAACCATATAGGTGAGAGAGTGGTGGTCAAGGCAGTCTTAACGTTGTCTTCAACTTGAATAAACTTTAGACAGTTTCTTCTTGACCAGGGACCATGCACCTCCATTTTTTTAGAGCTTTACCTCAGAAAACTGCAATGTTAAATTTTTTCTCTGCTTCTTTAAAATGTAAATCTTCTCTCAGGCTCCTGCCAGTTTTACAACCTAAAAATGACTTTCTCAAGGACCTGGGGGCCATCCATTTAAAATGTCATTATTAAGAAAGATAGCACACCCAAAGCATTATAGAGACTTAATGCAATCCTCATCAAAATACCAATAGCATTCTTTTAATAGAAGTAGAACGACAACAAAAAAAACATCAGATTTATATGCAATCACAAAAGATCCCGAATAGCCAAAGCAATCCTGAGAAAAAAGAACAAGGCCGAAGGTATCATACTGCCTGACTTCAAATTATACTACAAAGTGACAATAATCAAAACAGCATGGTATTGGCAGAAAAACAGACACACAGACCAATGGAACAGAATTAAAGCCAGAAAAAAACCCTGGTATGTATGGGCAAATAATTTTTGACAAAGTAGCCAAAAACATACAATGGAGAAAAGAAAGCTTCTTCAATAAATGGTGCTGGGAAAATTGGAGAGCCACATGTAAAAGAATGAAACTGGATTGCTATCTAACACCATACACCAAAATGAACTCAAATGGATCAAACACCTAAATATAAGACCTGAATCACCAAACTGCATAGAAGAAAACACAGGTTCTAAACTCATAGACTTTGGTTTTAGAGAGCATTTTACAAATTTGACCTCAAAGACAAGGGAAGTAAAAGCAAAATTAAATAAATGGGACTAACTATATCAAACGAAAAAGCTTCTGCACAACAAAAGAAACCATCAACAAAACAAAGAGAAAACCATCAGAATAGGAGAGGATATTTGCAAACAATGCCTCTGATGAAGGCCTAATATCCAAAATATACAAAGAACCCATAGAATTCAAGAATAAAAAAATAAACAATCCAATTAAAAAATGTACAGAGGACCTGAACAGACACTTTTTCCAAGAAGACATGCAAATGGCCAAGAGACATATGAAAAGATGCTCAACTTCACTAGCTCTTAGGGAAATGCAAATCAAAACCCGCAATGAGATACCATCTCATACCTGTTAGAATAGCTATTATCAACAGGACAAGTAATAACAAGTGTTGAAAAGGTTGAGGGGGAATGTAAATTGGTACAGCCATCATGGAAAACAGTATGGAGGTTTTTCAAAAAAATTAAGAATAGAATTAGCATGTGACCCAGCAATTCCTCTTCTTGGTGTTGTCTACCCAAACACTATTTATCTGTAAAAGATAGATGTACTATACCCCGATGTTCACTGCAGCATTATTCATGGTGGCCAAGACATGGAAAGTGTCCTCCAATAGATGTTGGATAAAGAAGATGTGATACATATGTACAATGGAATATTACTCAGCCATAAGAAAGGATGAAATACTGCCATTGTGATAACATGGATGGACCTTGAGATTATCATGCTAAGCAAAATAAGTCAGACAGAAAAAGTTGAGAACCATATGATTTCATTCATATGTGGGATATAAAACTGAAAGCAATAAATG